ACGCCCTGGAACGCACTGAAAGCCCATTTTAAACCAAAAAATATATTTATTTTTTTTAAAGCAAAAACGCGGCAAAAACATGGCACAACCCACTGCATTGCGTGTGCAGAAACCCATGCAGATCTGGTCTGCATTTGGTGTCAACAAGGCCTTAGGGAAAAATCTTTCCTGATCACCAAAAGCAATCAGACATTCTCTGGATCAACATTCCGTGATGTTATTTCCTATAAGCATCCTCAGTCAGGTACATTTTGTGCGTTTAGAAACGCATGCAGTCCTTTCATGAAGCAATCTATTTTAGGGTGTTCTAGGGTGTGCCTTTATATGTTGTTTACCAGATGTTATTCTGTGTGTGATTATGTTTGCACTATACTAATGATTAAATAAATATTTGCATCCATCTAGTTCACCAGCAACCACCAACAGTGCAACCATGCCTTAGCTTTTATTAAAGTGTATCTACACCCGAAAACACACATGTAATATATTGCCGCTTGCAGTCCTTGGATGAGGGGCCGGCATTTGTTTTCTTTTTTTCAGGCTTTTTTTTAAACCTGATAATTCTGTGAATACCACATAGGGGACATTCACCCCGCGGAATGAGGTATGTCGCCGGGTCCCCTCCTCTCTCCTGACAATGTCAGGCTTTCTGTCCATGACCGAGTTCCTGACTTTTTAGAGGGGGTGATGACAAAATGACTCAGTCATTTTGGTGTCACCCCTCCAATGGTGTCACCTGGGTGCAGGCCGCACCCACTGCTCCACTGCTCCACTGTATCTATGTTTGGACTACAAACATATCTGCCTTTGTTCATCTCCAATAGTAGTGGGATTAGTAGTTTGCAGATGGGAGAGAAGACTGTTTTATGCTTCCAGTTCATGTCACACGAAGTGACAAGGAAACAGCATTTCTGGCAAGATCAACAGGTATTTACTGTACTTGCCAAAAATGTTATGAAGAAAGAAAACTAATACAGCCATCCACTTCTAAGGACTGGTAAGCTGCAATATGCTACATTTTTGTCCTTGGGTTTAGTAATCGTTTAAAGCAGACCTGGGCATTATATGGACCACGGGCTGTATCCGGCCCTTTGTCTGTCTCTGTCCGGCCCACAATCCACAAAAAGACCAATTGCTAACCTGCACTTGTTTATGGCTGGTTGATAGTGGATGCGCCGGCCTCCAAGGCTAGGCTTGGAGGCCTGGGCTGTGGCTTGCAGTGGGCAAGCCACAGCCCAGCACAGGTCAGCGATGTGTACATGTGCGGACTACGTTTCTAACAGTCGTTGGTTTCTGGGATTGCTGGGGGTTGTTATTGTCATTGGCGGTGTTATTCAAATGAATGGCAATACATCGCACCTGCTGCACTGTAACACATGGTCAGTGGGTTGCACGGTACCGTACGTTAACCAATTCAGCCCTCTACAGCTGTCCCAGTTTCTCATGTGGCCCCTCGAGAAAATAAATTGCCCACCCCTGCTTTAAAGAGAATCGATGGTCAAAAAAAGTAAATAAATCTGTATTTCTATATTGAATTTCCATCTATCCCACTCTTAATAACCATATGTATTGACGTTTGTAAATTTACTTATTAAAGATTCCCATAGGATGTACTTCCTCGACTCATTGTCTGAACAATGTAACATTATCATTGTTTCCTGGGAGCAATGCATGATGGGATATGTAGTCTTGAGAAATAGAGATTGCATCACATCAGCAGGGAAAGAGAAGCAAAGCACACTGGGAATCCAGGAAGCTGATGAGTATTGGGCAGACAGAAGGCAGCACTCACTACATAAAAGAGATTTGATTGTATTATCAGAAACAACTCTACTATGTATTCCTATTACAATGCTGATGTCATAACAGGATAATGTATGCTGGGACTTTACAACATCTTCCTATCCATGCTTGCTGTACATTATTTTTGCTGAGTGATGCTAAATACTTTTTTTCCCCCCTAAACAGAGTTTTGGGTCTGGAGATACAAATAATAAACCTGCATAGACGTGACTTGTGCTACAATGATGATACATTACATAACAAATATCTTTTAATGGATGCCAATAATATGTAACAGAATTGTATCCTGTGGCAGAGGATCGGTGTGGGCACAAACAATGTTATGTCTTGTACGGACAAATATGTTATTATGTGATTTGATTATTTCACAACATTATAAAACGCAGAGCGCTGTCTGTTCTGCCAACATAAAGAGAACATGTCACACTCGTCGAGCTGAAAGGCTTCTTGAAAAGACGGCCCGTTGTATCTTTATTTAGTAAATAGCTGACTTGGTCACAATGCCAAACGCTGAGGGCGTTCTGCGGAGAGACGGGGTGTTCCTTCTGTACCCGTAGAGTCCATTGTAGCCGATCACAGGTTTGACGGAGGACAAGAACTGGCCGTGACCGCTGCTGTGTTCTGCCGAGTGACCTGGGACATGACAGGAATGACGATGAGACGGTAGCCCAAGAGGAGGATCACAAGCATCGCATTCGATCAGACCAACAGATGTCAATACAGAAGTGTTAAAATATATATATATTCATATCTTAACCCTTGCAGTGGGGCTACCCGGCACTGCAAGAGTTAACTGTTGTTTTTCCGTCTAGGTGCTAAAAAAAATAAAACGTTATACTCACTCGATCCTTAGAACTGGATTGCTCTTAGACCGGTCCCTGGAGCCTATGTCCCGGGTCCCCCTCCACTGCAGTCTATGGTCCGTGAGCCATCACGTCCAATATACCGTGTATAGGATGTGAGGACGCCGAGGGACATACCATCGCTGCAGCGGAGAAGGAAACAGGCCTCTGGTACTGAAGTAGCAGCCAACAGCAAAAAGTTTCCCAGCACACTCACCAGCCAGCATGCAAAATAAACTTGTCTTACCGCTGAGGTTAAAAACAGACGTTCAGATACACGTCTTCTGTAGAACATGTGAAAGCCGCACAGCCGCGCCAAGGCACCTCTATATAGTGCGGTCCTAACTCTAAACTATGAGAGTCTCCATCTTGGAGCACATGTGTCAAAAGATTAAATTGGGTGCAGGTTTGTCAGGAGGAAGCCTCCCTTAAAGGCACAGAGAGATATAACATGCACTCATTAATACAGCTCTGTGTTTATGAATACATCATTAAATGCATTTTTTAAAATGCAAGGAGTGTAAGTACCTGAATATGACTTGTGTGTGTCAACCTTTTGCAGTCCCAGTACAGCAGATTTGAAAGAGGGGGAGGGAGAAGCAGCACAAGGAGCCAATCAGATGTATTACATTGCAAGGAGCATGCTGATTGGAGGAGAGAACAGTGACAGAGATGGGCTCATCAGTGTGCTGTTTCTTATTTCTGGTAGTTCTTATTTACTAATATACTCCTATGTACTCCTATGACCCAAGATCAGGAGGTAGTGGGCACAGCTGCACTGCAGCTGGTAAGGACCACAACAATATTATCTGGATCCACCTTGGCTGCCTAAGTGACAGTTAGCTCTGCCTCTTTAGAGCCAGGGACTGCCATGTCCACCCTCCCCTGTCTGTCCCTCCAATAAGAGCTGGAGGGACACAGAGGGAACCCCTGCAGGGAGCAATGACTGCCAGCCACCACTCTCTGCAAGGAGAAGAGACCTGAGCTGAGCAGACATCAGTTACATAATTCATCATCTCCCTGTATAAAGTCTCAAAGGTGGCTGCAAAAGGGGAAATACACTTTAAATATAAACAGTTGCAGGGCCTGGCATGTAGGTGAACCTGTTGCTTTGCCCTGTACAGAGTCGGACAGATAACTGATTTCTTGAACTCCTGGGTGGTCTCCTTGAGTCAATGATTGGCTCCGCCTCTACTCCAGGAGGATTTCGTATCACACGAAATCACAGGGACCAATAAAGTGCTGTGCGAGATGGAAGTGGGTGGAGTCAAGTACTTTTTATTAGTCCAACATACCTGACCCGCTATTATTTCGGCTCAGTAGGTAGAAAGCAGCGGCACCCTTGTACTGGAATCGGTCAGCCAGTTCCCCATAGGTTGATGTGCCTCCCTTATACTGTAAAACAAAAGAAGAAATGGTTTTCCTAATAATTCCCAATGATGACCCAACTCTCCCCGTCCTATTCTAACTATTCCAGAGCTATAACAGACTTAATACTTCATATGTAAAAGATACATTTACAGAACCTAAACACCTAGACGTGTAAACCTCAGGGACACAAATAACCCAAAACAAAACACTTTCTAATCAGTCACACTGAACCCAACAACCAGATTGTACTGTGCAGTGTTCCCGTGTCTGGAGCCAGGCAGGATGAAGCGGTAACTGAGTGGCCACAAATGTGCATTATACATACAGATCCTTACTATATATTCATGTTTTCTTGTTCTCTGAAGGCCAGTACCATTTTTTTGTTTCAGGGGTATCGCTTGTGAAGTTGATATTTACTCCTGTTTCCCTAGAGCTGTATTTTTGTTGTCTCGTTCTTCCCAAGTCATTTTCTTCTTTTTCCCTTTTATTTATAGTAGTAAGAGCAGAACTCCCTCCCTTTCTGAGTATTTCCCTTTTCCCTGCATGCACACTTTTCTATCTTACTCTACACTCCTCTCCTTATCCCCACACTCCTCTCTCTGTCTCCGCACTCCTCTCCTTGTCCCCACACTCCTCTCCCTGTCTCCGCTCTCCTCTCCTTATCCCCACACTCCTCTCCCTGTCCCCACACTCCTCTCCTTATCCCCACACTCCTCTCCTTATCCCCACACTCCTCTCCCTGTCTCCGCACTCCTCTCCTTGTCCCCACACTCCTCTCCCTGTCTCCGCTCTCCTCTCCTTATCCCCACACTCCTCTCCCTGTCCCCACACTCCTCTCATTATCCCCACACTCCTCTCCCTGTCTCCACACTACTCTCCTTGTCCCCACACTCCTCACCCTGTCTTCGCACTCCTCTCCTTGTCCCCACACTCCTCACCCTGTCTCTGCACTCCCTTCCTTGTCCCCACACTCCTCTCCCTGTCTTCGCTCTCCTCTCCTTGTCCCCACACTCCTCATCCTGTCTCCGCACTCCTCTTCTTGTCCCCATGCTCCTCTCCCTGTCTTCCCACTCCTCTTCTTGTCCCCATGCTCCTCTCCCTGTCTTTGCACTCCTCTCCTTGTCCCCACACTCCTCTTCTTACCTCCATGCTCCCCCATGCTCCTCTTACTGCCTCTGAACTTCTCTCCCTGTCTCTGCATGCCTCTCTAGAGATAAGAAACCTGAAGAGGTTATGCCTAACCTGGAGTTGGGCTTTATATTCAAAGACACTGTTCTGAATACTCCTACTGTGATGTGCAAGATGCACAAACAGTGAGCACGCCTTGCAATTGGACACCAGCATTACAAACTGGTGGCAGTCTGTTAGAGCAATGTAACAGCCTTCACTTTTTTATACACTGCCTGTCCAAAAGAAAAGTCACACACTAATATTTCGTTGGCCCGCCTTTTGCTTTGATTACGGCACACATTCACCATGGCATTGTTTAGATAATCTTATGCAATGTCACAACATTTATTTCCATCCAGTGTTCCATTAATTGTTCACCAAGATCTTGTAGTGATGATGGGAGAGTCAGACCACTGTGTAAAGTCTTCTCCAGCACATTCCAAAGATTCTCAATGGGGTTAAGGTCTGGGCTCTGTGGTGGCCAATCCATGTGTGACAATGATGTCTCATGTTCCCTGAACCATTCTTTCACAATCTGAGCCCGATGAATCCTGGCATTGTCATCTTGGAACAGTCCCGTGTCATCAGGGAAGAAAAAATCCATTGATGGAAAAACCTGGTCATTCAGAATATTCAGGAAGGCAGCTGACCTCAATTTTTGGACACATAACATTGCTTAACCTACACCTGACCAACTGAAGTAACCCCAGATCACAGCACTTATCTAATGGAAGGCTCCTACCTATTTGCTTAGCTGAATCCAGGTGGTGACTTTCTTTGCCAGGCAGTGAATTACATAGCAGGTTTGTTGGTTAACACAGGACAACCATTATATACAGAGCTATAGGTCAGGCCTCAGAGAGGAGAAGAAAGGAGGGACAGACTGCTAAAGGAAGGGCAACTGGGAGCTATTCTATCTACATAGGTGGATGGAAGTGTTCACTCACCTGCCCAGTTTTCTTCAGTAAAGGTGGCACAGGCCTGGTCAGGAAATAGTCACGTACATGCCTGTCCTTCTGTGCATTGTAAGGGGGGATAATAGAGCCCAGTTTTGGTAAAGAGACGCTGTAGTCTTTAGCAATACTTGTAACAGCCACACAATCCAGAACAAACCTCTTCTCTTTCATCTGAAGTTCAGCAAGAGATGGGGAAGGGGCAAAACGACTCAAATGCCATGAACTGACTTTCCTCGGAGATGGTGCAGACTCAGCCATTGGCACAGCTTGGAATGTGAATTGTGAAAATCTGCAGTTCTACCTGCCTCCTGCTAAATTCACATTGGAATGCACAGCACAGCAGAGGATGGGTTGCTAGGGACTAACAGAAACAAAAGTACAATAGTCCTTTGCTAACAATGACCCTTCATTCAGTGTAGGCTTCCGAGCAACACTCACATACACAAAGTCCAACACCTCACTACCACTCATGCTGAAATTGTGGCAGCTGACAACCTTTCTTCCACTTGCAACAATGATGATAATAATAATAATAATAATAGTAGTAGTGGTAAAAATAATAATAACATCATGTTTACACTTCCTAAATAACAGAAATAATTTAAATAGTAGTGGCACTAGAAAAAAATCCTGAAAGACTCAAAGAAGAGACACACACCCTTCGCTCCACCCAGAGACATGATTTAATTACTCAGTTTACACAGTCTACCTCAAATACCATGGGCGCTGTACTGGCCTTCCTTATTGGTAATTAGGAATGAGCAGAATGATTTTGCCAAAATTGCTCTTAGCAAAATTTTAGTTTCACCAATTGAGCTACTTTTTTATTTAGAGGGTGTGGGTTTTTGTTGTATTAAATGCAGTTTTATTTCAATTTGTGTTCTTTGTATTTCTTTCCTTTTTGTGTATGTGATCAGTATTTATATATGTAGCGTCACTTTACATTTTTTTTTAATCTTACTTCTTTTTTCGCTGTCTTTCTTTTCTCTGTAAATAAAATTATTGTAATGAGGCTAAATCTTCTAATTGTTTATAAAATGAAGGAAATTAAAAAGCTCAATATCGCTCATCCCTCTTACTAATTGATTAGAGGTTTTGTTAAAAAAAGATTTTCTGCAAATAATTAAAAGCAAAAGAACGGATTTCAGGCAAGTCAGGTCTCACTCATAGTGAATTCACATGAGTGAATAGCCGAATGCTGCTCGGCAATCCTGCTCGATACCTCTGTGTTACCGAGCTGAATAGAAAAATAGTTTAAAAAGTAGAAAAAAAAGAATAGACAGCCAGCTCCGCCCAACTGTTTTCTATTGGCCGGGCGTTTCTGCTGCCGTCAAAATAAAAAAATAAAAAATAAAAACACAAACTCTACTGCTGTCAATCACTAGAGGGGACCTGATGGAGAACTGCAGGTCCCCTCTGCTGATTGACAGCAGCAGTGGGCGGGTGCAATAGCTAGTTTGCTATTGGCTATTGCAAATTCAAATAGCCAATAGCTATGCATTCCTATGCTTCTTATTTGTTTTTGCTTTTTTTTGTTCTGATGGCAGCCAATGGCTCCGATGTCAGAAGAATAAAAAAAAAAGACAACAGAGCAGGGAAAGGTTTGCTCGATCGAGCAGAGTAACACTTTCCTGCAGAAAGTAACTCTCTCCGGGTGGCCGGGAGAGTTGGGCTATCTGGAGATCAGTGTCCCTGGTTATCTGGTAACCAGGGGCGCTGATCTGCCTGTGCAAGTGGCTCCGCCCAGCAGTCCGTAGCAGGCTGTCGGCCGGCCAATGGCCGGCCTTTTGACCAGCTTCGCCTTTCACCTCGGCTCAGTCGAGCTGAGGCATATACCTTCGGCTCGACTGAGCCGCTCGGCCAACTTCGGGAGCTGTACGGGCTATAGTGAATAGCCCGTACAGCAGCCCTTCGGTTCCACTGAACCGAAGGGGTCCTGGGGCCGCAGCTGGCCGAAGGATCAGCCGAAGCTACGGCTAGATTCTTCGGCAGCTTAGTGAGTAGACCCCATAGACTTGCAGAGAAGAACAGCAACCTTTGCATCCCTATTAAGCAGGAAGCAAATCCCTCATACGTAATGAGAAAATATGCCTGCTCCCGTATGTAGGACTGGCTAAACAAAACAATACTTGCAATTTTTACAGTAAACATATGTGTATTTCAATAATTTATTAGTTATTTATTACAGGTATTTATTTAGCACTGACAATTTATGCAGCTCTTTTACGTTGTACATACATTCACATCAGCTAAATATGTATTTAATGTAAGCCAGCCAAAAATTAATTTAGTTCCGGATTTTTCGTTATTTCATTATACAGATTCGGACAAATCCGATTTTGCATTTTAATTTCGAATGAGTTAAACGATAATTATGAGCAAATGCCCGTTGCAGAAAAGTGACATTAAATGTTTACTTTTTTTCTTTTTAACAGTCCACAGGAACAATTACAAGAAACAAACAAACTCAGCATGCGCCCCCCCCCACCCCTGCACCCCCCGCACCATACAAAGCCACATGCTCTCAACATGGGGAGGGTGCTTTACTAGGGGGGGACCCCCTGACATAACCCTGGCTCTGTGGTTGTGGGGGTCTGTGGACAGGGGGGCTTATAGGATTATGCGCCCATTTGTTTACATTTTGTGACAGCTCTCGGTCCACTAATGGAATGTAAAAAATATGGGCGGAATAAGTTCCGTGA